TGGGTCCTATGCACTGGGCCCTGTGTGCTGGGTCCTATGCACTGGGCCCTGTGTGCTGGACCCTATGTACTGGGCCCTGTGTGCTGGGTCCTATGCACTGGGCCCTGTGTGCTGGGTCCTGTGCACTGGGCCCTGTGTGCTGGGTCCTATGCACTGGGCCCTGTGTGCTGGGTCCTATGCACTGGGCCCTGTGTGCTGGGTCTGCACTGGGCCCTGTGTGTGCTGGGTCCTATGCACTGGGCCCTGTGTGCTGGGGGGCCCTGTGTGCTGTACTGGGCCCACTGGTCCTGCTGTGCCCCATGCACTGAGTCCTCCGTGCTGTGCCCTATGCACTGGGTCCCATGCACTGAGCCCTGTGTTGGGCCCCGTGTGCTTGGCCCCATGCAGTGGGTCATGTGTGCTGGACCCTATGCACTGGGCTCTGTGTTCGGTCCTGTGCTGTGTCCCATGCACTAAGTCCTCCGTGCTGTGCCCTATGCACTGGGCCACGTGTGCTTGGCCCCATGCACTGGGCCCTGTGTGTTGGGCCCCGTGCGCTTGGCCCCATGCACTGGACTATGTGTGATGGGCCCCGTGTGCTTGGCCCCATGCACTGGGCTATGTGTGATGGGCCCTATGCAATGGGTCCTGGGCTCCGTATGCTAGTCCTTATGTGTTGGGCCCTGTGTGCTGGACCTCATGTGCTGGGCTCCATACACTGGGCTTCATGCTCAAGGACCTGTGCGCTGGGCCCCATGTCACTGTATGCTGGACCCCATGCACTGGGCCTTGGGTGCTGAGCCCTGTCTGCTGGACCCATTGCTCTAGAACCTGTGTACTGGGCCCCATACACTGGGTTCTACAAGTTTTGGGCCCCATGCGCTGTGTACTGGGTGTTTGGGCCCAATGCGCTGTGCTGTGTACTGGACCCTGTGTGCTAGGCCTTTGTGCTGGGCCCCATGCGCTGGGTCCCATGGACTGGGCCCTGAGTTCTCTGCACTGTGTGCTGGCCCCCATTTTCACTGACATGTTATGGGCCCTATGCACTGGGCCTCATGCTCAGGGATCTGTGTTCTAGGCCGTACGTGTGAGGCCCCACGCACTGGGTCCTGTGCCCCTTGAGTTGGGCCCTGTGTGCTGGACCTCATGCACTGGGCCTTGTGCTAGGCCCCATGCTCTGGGTATTTTGTTCTTGGCTCAATGGGCTGGAACCCTTTCGCTGGTGCCCTGTGATGCTGAGCCTCATGCACTGGGCTGTGAGCTGGGTCCTGTGTGTTGGACCCCATGCGCTAGGCACTGTGTGCCGGGCCCCATGCGGTAGTCCGTGTATGCTGGTGCCTTGTTCTGGGCACTGGGCCCCATGTGCTGGGCTCTGTGCCTCATCACTGGAACTTGTGCGCTGGGTCCTCTGTATTGAACCGTGCTGGGACCCGCTCACTGGGCCGTGCCCTACATTTTGTGCCTAATGCACTGGCCCTGCTTGCTGCACCCCGTGCACTGGGCCCTACGTTGTGCCTGATGCACTGGACCCTGTGTGCTGAGCCCCATGTGTTGGGTCCTGCATGCTGCACCCAGTGCACTGGGCCCTTACGTTGTGTGCTTAATGCACTGGACCCTGTGTGCTGGCCCTGCTTGCTGCACCCCGTGCACTGGGCTGTGTGTGCTCAGCCTCGTGCACTGGGCCCAGTGTGCACCATACGCTGGGCCCCATACTCAGGGACCTGTGTGCTGGAACCCCATGCACAGGTTCGTGACCCAGGCCCTGGGCTGCGTGCACCATGCACTAGGACCTGTGTGCACCATGCGCTGTGCACACGGCCCTGTATGCAAAGTGCATTGGGACCTGTGTGTACCATGTGCTGGGTCTATGTACACCGCCGTCTACTGGGGTCTATGTGCACTGTATACCGAGTAGGCGCACCCTATACCTGTAGTTGGACACCAAAATATGAACTACTAATTGGTCTCATTCCCCGTAACTGACAACACACAGGAACTTTCAATTCTTTAATACTATCACCATCTTGCTTCTTCCTATTATCCTTAACTCTTACATTATATCGTTCACTAAAATATTAACTTAGGGTGTGCAATGTTTATCTCAAAGAACCTACTGGAGTCACACACTAGGGGATTAATCATTCTTTGCAACACTTAAGAATTCAACTAAACATTAATTAAGGTTTGGATATCACACTTGGTTAAGGATTATTATTTTTTCGTTGACAAATTGTGGTCCAGCAATGATTTAGCTGGGTGTTAACTTAAAGATTTCAGTTTTATCATGTCATATAGCCCCCCTAAAGATGCAAAACTCCTTTAATATTAAGGATAAGTCAATAAAATTAAAACATTGCAATGCGTGGAAGGATACAAAAAATATCGAAACTCAAAACAATACATTTATATATATTACCCATCAGTACAAAATATAATAATAAATTCCCTCACAAATACATGAAAAATAAATGAGAAATATTGTTACTTGTTTTGGTAGCTTTGTGAATGAAGGCGCCAACTAAAGATCCCCCAATACCGAGTTACCTTACCTGCCTCCCTCATTAAACACAAACTATGAATAACTTTGTCTCCTATACATAAAGTTTTATGATTTACATATTTCCCTAAATTATTTTCCCTTTCCACCATCATCACTTCTTTCTCTTACCCCTTCTTTCCCCACTTCACCTATTAACAGACGTCTTCACCTTGCTCTTTCCTTAACCTTTTTTTATTCCTTTCCTGGATCCTTCTTCTCCTCGGCTCCGGAGTCTTTTTCCTTTACTTGAACCTTCTTTTCATTTACCACAACTTTCATATTTTGTTCATCTTTCTTTTCCTTTTCTGGAACTTCCTTCTTTGCTTCATCTTTCTTTTCCTTTACTGGAATTTCCTTCTCTGTTTCATCTTTCTTTTCCTTCTTTGCTTCATCCTTCTTTTCCTTTCCTGGAGCTTCCTTCTCTGTTTCATCCTTCTTTTCCTTTACTGTAATTTCCTTCTCTGTTTCATCTTTCTTTTCCTTCTTTACTTCACCTTTCTTTTCCTTTACTGGAACTTCTTTCTTTGCTTTATCTTCCTTTTCTATTCCTGTAAGTTTCTGTTCCTTTCCTAGAACTTTCTTCTCTATTTCCCTGGCTTCATTTTTCACAAATTTCTCAATCATTTTGGCCTTGTCACCTTCACACGTTGAATTCACTCCCCCAGTGGCGTTACCTTCTTTGGGACATATTTTTTTTTCTTCTTCTTTGATTCCACGTCCCTGTATTGACCTTTCCTTTCCAAGAGTTACATTTTCATTTCTTTCCATCACCTTCGTCCCTAAAAATTTCTCTCCTTTCCCAGATGTGTCATTTTTCGAACTTGTGGAGGCATTTCCAACTGTTCCGTCTCTACCAACGGTTATATTTTTATTTTCTACACCCTTTGCTTCATCTTTCTTTTCCGTTACCGAAACTTTCTTTTCCTCTACCCGAACTTTCTTTTCCTTTACCACAACCTTCTTCCCTTCATCTTTCTTTTCCTTTTCTGGAACTTTCTCTTTTGCCTCATCTTTCTTTTCCTTTTCTGGAACTTTCTCCTTTGCTTCATCTTTCTTTTCCTTTTCTGGAACTTTCTCCTTTGCTTCATCTTTCTTTTCCTTTTCTGGAACTTTCTCCTTTGCTTCATCTTTCTTTTCCTTTTCTGGAACTTTCTCTTTTGCCTCATCTTTCTTTTCCTTTTCTGGAACTTTCTCCTTTGCTTCATCTTTCTTTTCCTTTTCTGGAACTTTCTCCTTTGCTTCATCTTTCTTTTCCTTTTCTGGAACTTTCTCCTTTGCTTCATCTTTCTTTTCCTTTTCTGGAACTTTCTCCTTTGCTTCATCTTTCTTTTCCTTTTCTGGAACTTTCTCCTTTGCTCTCTTTCTTTTCCTTTTCTGCTTCTTCATCTTTCGTTTCCTTTTCTGGAACTTTCTGTTTTACTTCATCTTTCTTTTCTGGAACTTTCTCCTTTGCTTCATCTTTCTTTTCCCTTTCTGGAACTTTCTTCGCTGCTTCATCTTTCTTTTCCATTACCGAAACTTTCTTTTCCACTACCTGAACTTTCTTTTCCTTTACCACAATTTTCTTCCCTTCATCTTTCTTTTCCTTTTCTGGAATTTTCTCTTTTGCTTCATCTTTCTTTTCCTTTTCCAGAAGTTTCTCCTTTACTTCATCTTTCTTTTCCTTTTCTGGAACTTTCAATTTTGTTTCATCTTTCTTTTCCTTTTCTGGAACTTTCTTCTTTGCTTCATCTTTCTTTTCCTTTTCTGGAACTTTCTTTTGTTTCATCTTTCTTTTCCTTTTCTGGAACTTTCATCTTTCTTTTCCTTTTCTGGAACTTTCTCTTGCCTCCTCATTTCCTTTTTTCTGAAATTTGCTCTTTTATTCATCTTTCTTTTCCTTTTCCAGAAGTTTCTCCTTCTTCATCTTTCTTTTCCTTTTCTGGAACTTTCAATTTTGTTTTTCATCTTTGCCCTTCTTTGTTCATCTTTTTCCTTTTCCTTTCTTTTGCTTCATCTTTCTTTTCCTTTTCTGGAACTTTCTCCTTTGCTTCATCTTTCTTTCCTTTTCTGGAACTTTCTCCTTTGCTTCATCTTTCTTTTCCTTTTCTGGAACTTTCTCCTTTGCTTCATCTTTCTTTTCCTTTTCTGGAACTTTCTCCTTTGCTTCATCTTTCTTTTCCTTTTCTGGAACTTTCTCCTTTGCTTCATCTTTCTTTTCCTTTTCTGAACTTTCTCCTTTGCGGAATTTTCTGGGAACTTTCTTTTGCTTCATCTTTCTTTTCCTTTCTGGAACTTTCTTTCTGCTTCAGAACTTTCTTTTCCTTTTTCATCTTTCTTTTCCTTTTCTGGAACTTTCTCCTTTGCTTCATCTTTCTTTTCCTTTTCTGGAACTTTCATGCTTTTCTTCTTTCTGGAACTTTCTGAAACTTTCTCCTTTGCTTCCTTCTTTTCTTTTCCTTGGAACTTTCTTTCTTTGCTTCATCTTTCTTTTCCTTTTCTTTCAGGGAACTTTCTTCTTTGGCTTCTTTGCTTCATCTTTCTTTTCCTTTTCTGGAACTTTCTCCTCTTTAACTTCCTTCTTTCTTTCTTTCTTTTCCTTTTCTGGAACTTTCTCCTTTGCTTCATCTTTCTTTCTTTTCTTTCTTTTTTCTGGAACTTTCTAACTTTCAGGAACTTTCTTTTGGGAACTTGCTTCATCTTTCTTTCCCTTTTCTGGAACTTTTCTTTGGAACTTTCTTTCTGAAACTTTTTTCTTCCCTTCATCTTTCTGAACTTTCTTTTCCTTTCCTAGAACTTTCTTCTTTATCTTTCAACTTTCTCCTTTGCTTCCTCTTTCTTTTCCTTTCCTGGAACTTTCTTCATCTTTCTTTTCCTTTTCTGGAACTTTCTTCTTTACTTCATCTTTCTTTTCCTTTTCTGGAACTTTCTCCTTTGCTTCCTCTTTCTTTTCCTTTCCTGGAACTTTCTTCTCTGCTTCAGCTTTCTTTTCCTTTCCTGGAATTGGCTTCTTTGCTTCATCTTTCTTTTCCTTTTCTGGAACTTTCTTCTTTACTTCATCTTTCTTTTCCTTTTCTGGAACTTTCTCCTTTGCTTCCTCTTTCTTTTCCTTTCCTGGAACTTTCTTCTCTGCTTCAGCTTTCTTTTCCTTTCCTGGAATTGGCTTCTTTGCTTCATCTTTCTTTTCCTTTTCTGGAACTTTCTTCTTTACTTCATCTTTCTTTTCCTTTTCTGGAACTTTCTTCTTTGCTTCATCTTTCTTTCCCTTTACTGTAACTTTCGTTTCATTTACCGTAACTTGTTTTTCCTTTGTCACAACTTTCTTTGGTTCAGTTTCCCTTTCCTTTCCTGGAACTGTCTTTGCTGCTTCTTTCTTTTCTTTTCCTGGAACTGTCTTCTCTATTTCTCTGGGTTTCCTTAATATTTTGGCCTTAACTTTCTTTGGTTCAGTTTCCCTTTCCTTTCCTGGAACTGTCTTTGCTGCTTCTTTCTTTTCTTTTCCTAGAACTGTCTTCTCTATTTCTCTGGGTTTCCTTACTATTTTTTCCTTAACTTTCTTTGGTTCAGTTTCCCTTTCTTTTCCTGGAACTGTCTTTGCTGCTTCTTTCTTTTCTTTTCCTGGAACTGTCTTCTCTATTTCTCTGGGTTTCCTTACTATTTTGGCCTTGTCACCTTCACCTGTTGGTTTTACTTCCCCAAGGTCTTTACCTTTTCCAAGAAACTTTTTCGTTTTTACTGCTTCGGTTCCACGTCGCTGTATTGTGCCTGTCAATCCAAAAGTTAAATTTTCTTTTCCTTCTACCTCTCTCTCCCCCAGAATTTTCTGTTTTCCCTTCTCAGCTGCTGTGACAGTTTTCAAACTTGCTGAGGTATTTCCAAGTGTTCCATCAATATCAATGGTCATAGTTTTATTTTCTACACTCTCAGACTTAGTACCTAAGTATTGAGGTGTCTGTTCTGGTTTTACACTACCGCTCACCTCAGCCTTCCTTAAAACCTCTCCGAGAATAGCGAAAGAGAGATTTTCAGAGGACTGTTCCTTTAATCCAAGTGAACGATTTAACCCACTGAATGGGAGAGAAGAGTTCATACCGAAGATATCTTCAATTCCCTTCGTGGTTTCCATGTCCTCTACTGTTTCAGGAGACTGGAAGTAAAAGAATTTTATGTACTCCAAGCATGTACCTAATTTCACACACAAACAATATATGTAAATATTCCCATCTTTTTTACTACATTTAACTACTTATAGCTGCTTCATATTGCTCTACTGGTCAATTGTACATCCTAAGGCACACTAAGTGGGCTCCTAACAACTGTTCTAGACAAACGTTGGTGTAGGAAGAATTCGGTCCATGTGACCCTCCACCAAACAACTGTCCTACTAGGGGGCCCTTCTTGTGAGAATGGTTAAATATTACTTAACCTAACCAAACTGACAGACATCTAGCCAACTTAGGGAACCATTCTTGTGAAGGGAATGGTTACATGTTACCTAACCTAACCAAACTGGCAGATATCTACTAGGGGGGGGGGGCCCTGTACCTCCTTGTTTGTTAAGATGTTTCAAGGCAAAATCCTTATGCACAGGATCAAGGGTTAAAAGCACAAGTAACGGTAAATGTTTAAAGTACTATATACACAAAAACTACATACTGAATTTATAGTGTTGTTAAAGACTTATAATAGTATACTGCACCATTGGCCTCCACAGTATGCTCCCTCCTCCCTCACTAGTATTTCCTGGCCACATTATGTCATGGTCACGTTGACTGCTAGTCTGTTTTAACTCTAATGATTCATATTATACTCCACGACCGCAAAACATGAGTGGGTAGCTGGTTAGCTATCCCTAAAAGAAGAGCGTTTTTCCCCATCGACGTTTATACTCATGATCCCTCTCTAAGCCCAGCCTTTGTGAAGACAGTTATCACTACGTTCTTATTCCACTTTCTACTGGCAAGCTCAATCTTGAATTAGTTTGTGTAAATCAACTTTAGTAATTCGCCAGACCTTTGTCAACTAAGGGTCATCCTTGAATGAGGAACAGTTGGTTTGTTTGTAATTTCTGTCACTGCGTGAGTAGCGATCGCTGGCAACTCAGGGGTATATAACCACGGGCGAGACGGGAGATCATCCCGTAACACCGTCCAACTTTGCTTCCCAGATTCCAGGGTGTCCTCGTTTGAAAACCCACCGGTTGCCTGGAGCCGGTGGATAACTAGCAGGGAGCAATATTTGGGCGATGTCGTTGATTCGACATGATTAACTTACTACAAATCAACATCGTGGGGCTGGACCCCAGACGCTCGCCACGTGTCGGAGTACAACCGACCACAACAGCGGTCGGCAGTGTTACAGGCGCCAGTGTTATACCCTTGGACATGCCTTGGAGTTATATGGCCCACAGTGTTGTTGTATATGTTTGGGGATAATTAACTGGAAATAATTATCCCATGTTGGGTAGTGGACCCATGTATGAGTTGGTTTCAGTAATAACATGTTGTGTGTTGTGAGTGCATCTCATATGTACTACCAACAGTTAGTAAGGGAACCATATGTAAGTTGGTCATGTATGCAATGAAATGTATCACCAGTAATGTGGGTGAAGTAGGTACCCACTTGGATTGGCAGTTAAGAGAAGCCAAGGAGTTGTCATGTAATTATATGTAATGTAATGTAACACCAGTAAGGTTGTGTGCAGTAAGAGTACAGTGTCTGAGTAATTTGCAGTTGAGTAGAGTCGAGGAGTTACACCTTGGAGTTGTCGATTAATAATATATTTTTCCCCACTTTGATTCCATATTAATAAACCTGTTCTTAGATTATTTTAGGAGTATTCATTTCTCCCACAGTAGTTCACCGTTATTTCCGTCCAAGTGACCCCTGATATCAGAATTACAGTACCCATGTGTCCTAGACCCTCGTTATGCTACCAAAAAGAACTGAGGTTATGTAGTAACCATGGAACTGAAGTAAGTAGAAAGAACAATTGGAAGACCTAAGACAGAGTAGAGAGAAGAAACCTCCGCCCTTACAATTATACATAAACATACTGTAATTGTTTTGGCCTGGGACTGTTAAAGAAATGGTCAGAATTCCTTATTCTCACACTGACCAACCTGTTAACTTTATGGTGTGTTCGCTACATTATACAAGAACACGTCATTTGTCCTAGCTCAAGTGTACCATCAGTAATAACTTCTTTACCTTACATTCCTAGGAACTTTCATAAAACAAAAACTTTCAATTTTAATTGTAGATAATATTATTTACATCATTTTTAAACTCTACAGATCCTGCAGGTCAGGTCAAATTTTAGACAACTATAAAATCAAATCTTTCACACATCACCTTTGGGTTACACAATTTCTTAAACATGTGACTGCCAATTTCTATCATAATAAAAATGAGAAAGTTCGATTATCTCACTGCTATGAAATTACCAGATAACCCTACACGACCTGCACAAATATAATGTAACAAAATTCCTGAATATTAGCACTACTCCCATATTAAAAAGTATCTAACGCCAACTTTATTAATTTCGGAAGCGACACCACACACAAGGGGTTAACGTGAATACGTAAAATTTTGAATGACAGCCTCATATTAACTAAAGATCACAGCCTCATGTTAACTATAGATCACAGTATTGGGAAATTTAAAGATAACATAAATGATATTAATCAAGACATTGAAGACCCTTTCCCGACCACCCCAAGTCAAGTGATGAACATCGGCAAAGAAGTTAACACTTCCACCCTCCACATTTTTCTCCACGGATTTGTGCAATTCACGAGCCGACCTGGATGCCCCAAAAAAAAAATCACTCTTGATCCAACTATATGGCTCATTATCAAAATTTGGAATAATCCACTTAAATAAAGTCACTTAATAATAAGAACAATTCATCTCTGACAACACCCACTACAGCACTAGTAGGTATAACCTGTAATATTCTGTTATTTGATCACTAACATGAAATATGATAGATACATTGGAAAATTCAGTTATTGGAGTGGACTATTTACTGGAATTTATTCCTAAAAGATTAATTATTTGCTTATTATAAAGGACATCATTAATTTATGGTAAGATTGCCGTCAGATTAACAATATTTTGAAGCTGAACCGAATTCACATTAAATTGCAGGGTTATTTGTAAAATTCCCAGGCTTTTCCAGCCCCAAATAAAATCCCCTGCATTTCCCAGACCAGTAAACACCCTGTCTAAATACGTAGTATCCTTAATTATTTCAAAGGTCAGATCTATAACCAGTATGTAACGTTTTACGTATGAAATTTGAAGAAAATCCTAGGTATATCCCCAAGTGCTGAAACGCAAGGTGTTAGATCAGGCATATTTTTGACGAGGCACATCATAGGGGGTTAGATAAGGGCATTGTGGGAGGTATTACAAGTGTATGGGGTGGCAGGAAGGCTATTAAATGCAGTAAAAGCACTCTATGAAAACAGCAGGGCAACAGTAAGAATTAATGGGAAAGTGAAACATCTGAAATAAACGTGGGTGTTCAATATAGACATAGATGTGAACTACTGTACTATACACTGGTGATAAGCTTTCTTACAGGACTGCACACAACTGAAATACTGATTACAAGGAAGCCACTGTTCAGCTTAGCTAATGAGTGCTTACTGTTTATGGTTGGGCTCTGCAGAGCCTCCGATTCTAATGTACAAATTATGCATTAAACGGGCCGAGGAGAGCCAAGTTGCCACTGCCAATCTCTCTTCCTTTCCAATTGTACTTAAATGAATTCTTTAAAACTTTTAACTGAAAAAGTAGAATAGTTTTCCCTAGCATTAAGATGGCCTTGTCAGTGATATTTGGAAAGGAGGAAAAAGTATAAATGAATACTAAATCATCCTGACTGTAAAGTTTATGATTAATTGACATGGTCACAATAGCGTGGTTAGTCCGTTCAACACCCATTTATTCACATTATGCTAAACCACCCACAAAACACGTGAAACTTTGATTCCACCACGAGACGTTCGTTCCCCCCCCCCCCTCCAGGGCGTCATAGTCCTCCGTTTTCTCTTTTGTGGACAACCTCAGGGACTCTGGTATTTCTTAATACCGCATTTGGTGTTCGGAAATTTGAAATTGGGAGTGAATGATTTTATTGTACAGTCAATAATGTACAGTATACCTACCGTGAGAGAAAACATTTTAGGTGTATTGAGTATATGTTGAAGGTATCATGAATCTTTCTGTGTAGAGTATATCGTGTTAAGAGATGTTATGTTTTGAGTATTCATCTGCCAGCTGTAATAAGTATTGTTTCGTTTGTACTATGCGATAGCAATTAAAAACAGAAGTCATTTATTTTTGTTCTATGAACATCAGAGAATCCAATGAGAGAATATAGAAATTGTTTTCAGTCTTACTTTTATCCTCTTCACCACTGATCGGCTCGTTAGCCGCTTGGGCAATCGGTCACGTCTCTGATTACTTTTCCTTTACCCTCTTCACCAAATGATCGGCTCGTTAGCCGCTTGGGCGATCAGTCACGTCTCTTTTACGCACTGTTGGCAAGTACTGGACATGCACAGGCTCCTGAATGTACCTGAACCTGCTCCAGTGTTGGTCAAGTCTTGTCTTGTCTTGAAAGAACTCACACTCGGTGCCGTCACAACACTTTCTGGTATTATAGTAAGTAGATAGGCTGCTGAAGTGTAAATAGAATTTCTAATTATCGCTGGAATATATTGGAAAATCTCACTTATCTCGTTGCGTAGCTCCGCCCACAGTACACTGCCATTCTTAGTACTTGAAGTCAGTTTAATTCTTGTCTTTGAAAGCTCAGTCACTGCTTAGTTTAAAAAGTTAACCTTAGAAAATGTTCACACGTCGACGGGTCGGAGTTGTGAAACGTTGGCTGGCAGAGGAGCAAGGCAGACCTCACTGGCTCACTCTCCAGCCTGACTCCATTCTGTACACAGGTAATGTCCAGTACTGCATGTACAATATACCCAGTAATATTAAGTGAATTTACTTAGTTGCTTTGTTTGTATATGCCCGTGATCCAGTAACGTAACTTTGATGTGTTTTAAGTGAAGTTTTCATGCCCCTTCAGCTTATTAAAACGTTAAGAGAAAAAGTGTCAACACTCACACTCCAGCCTTTGACTCTATTCTGTACACAGGGGCCAGATACACCAAGGGTGGTCGTGTAGGCCGGGACGACAGACACACTAGTTTTGGGAGATGGATGAAGGCCAGTAAGATTGGATAGCATCGTGAACACGGTTATGGGGCGAGCCGAGATCTCACGCACAGCCAGCCGCTGAGAGGAGTTGGCCAGGATGTGTTCGCTGTCCACTTGTTGATCTCAAGAGAGAGGTAAACCCAACCAGCTAGTAGCAGTGTGTTGTGAATGAGTCCACCTCTAAGTACAGATTACTTTGGGTGTGTTATTCGTCCGAGTATTCACGTGCGTAGTCTACTCAATTGTATGGGTGTCTGGAGCCAGCAAGTGTATGAGGGTCGCCACTTTTTCTTGGCAAATGTAACCAAGCTAACTCTAGGAGGTATTAGTTGTGGTATGACTAAGATTCCTGTTTGTGATCAAGAGCTACAATGCTCAGGTAACCTGTACTGTTGGTGGTCGAGTGTTGTGTGTTTTTGAAGGTACACCAAGTAATGGTGTATGTTGAAAGATGTATTGTACATAGTTGAAAAGTATCTGAGTGGAGCCATGGAGTTGATCCTGGTAGATGTGTATGACTGCAAGTAGTCGAAAGTCTAGCATTATTTTAATAAACCATTTTTTATTGTATGTTAGGGGTATTATTCTCCTACAGTGTCCACCTTTATTCCTTTCCGTATCTTAGTACCAATATTACCCAACCCTCGAGCCATGCTACCACAGGTCAGAGGTAAAGCAGTGTCCTGAGAAGTAAGGTAACTAAGACCTAGCTAACATGGAATAAAGTAAGAAATTGAGATAAATAGGCTAAGGATTGGAGAGTTAAGAAGTTAAGACAGAAGGAAAAGTAGTTTTTTAAAGTAGTGGGACAGAGAAAAGAAATTAAAGTAAAATGTTATAGGAAGAAGATCCTCTATATTGAGGACAGGTTCCCCTATATATTGGTGGAGTCACCTATAAAATGTTGACAGGTTCTCTCTTCCCCATACAAGTAGTGACAGACTGTCATTCTCCCTCCCCCTACATAATACAGTAGAATACTAAAAAGTGCTAAAATATTAACTTATCAAAACCAGCAAAATAGCATTAAAACTATAAAAAAGCCAACCCTGATAAACAAAGAACAAAACACCTCTGCCTCTGCTCCTAAAAACAATGTGTCCATAGTGTACTGTATTCTCACCTTGTTTTTGGTTAATCTATGGATTTCATTGCAGCCTTTCCTACAAGCTTTATCCTCAACTGGAGACGAATCGAACTGCTGCGCACATCCTGTGGATAAATGAAAAGCATCTTAGGTTCACTCTACTGCCCAATGTACACACACCAAAAATTTCTCAAACACCTGGGCACAATGGATGTGAGAATGAACAGAATGGGGCTTGTCATCTCAGAATGATTTCAGATTCTTCATTCATTTTTCAGATTGCATAGTACTTACAGTGTTGGAGAAGTTTTTGGTGAGTGTACCAATGACACTACCGGCTAATATTGACGACCAACCCGCCAACGTTATTTGTGTTGGTGTCTATTTTCTTGCTATATTTTTATCAATGAGTTCTGATATGATAATCATTTCTTAAGAAAATGATTCATTTGATAGATAAATAATCAGACACCTAATTGCGCACTACTTTGTCTTCTCGGCAGTGATGCCGTAGCCCGAATGTAAACAGCCAATCATATTAATGCTCCAATTGACACCAGTGTACATCTATAAGCCACATGATCCGGGCAGTTGCTATAAAAAAAAAAAAAAAAAAATCTTTGATTAGCTTGGTGAGGTCTTCTAACAGCACTTCTGCTGCTTGATTTTCTTTTTAACTAAAGTTAATTTTGAAATAATCACCTTTTATCATATTTGCCAAAATTATGAGTGTCCGATATAAAGCATAGTGAAATTGCGATGTTTTTAAAACACCTTTTTTTGACAAATCAGCGGCGGGTGTCATCAATAATTGCTGCACCAACAACTGAATTATAACAAGACACCAAACACAGGTTTATGTAATACAGTACAAATATTTTTCATAACTTAAAATTAATAATACATTTCACACAATCAATTCTCCTTCAGCACACTTTTGTCAAGTGTTTCCATTACCATTCATTCCTGGCACAACAATATATCCCTACAAGACCTCCACTTCCTCATCAAAATCAATCTATCTCTCATACTTGTACTGTACTGATAAACTGGTCATAACTGAAATCAACCATGTTGCTTAACCTTATCAAGGCAGATCCAGGGGGTCCTGACCCCACTTTTCACCAGAAAATTCCAATACGTTTTCTTTAAAGCACAATAAAAACAGACGTTCAGCATTTCTTTCGAAAAATTATAAATTTCTGAAGTGTTTTCTTTACAGATTTTACAAATACTGTATGTGGATGACAAAATTAATTTACAAAGTTCTGTAAAAAGTTCCCTGAATAGTTGAAGCTGCTTGTAACATAACTACCTATAAATCATTAATAAAACTTCAAATGTCACTTATTAGTACACTATTTATCATTTCTCCAAAGAAATACAGTACTGTACTGTAAATGCATTATCCATAAAAGCTCTTAAAACTATAAGAAAACCATCTTCTGTACCTGTATATCTATTAATAAAATTCACAGTTCATCAATCCAAGACCATTTTTGTAAATTAATGACACAGGCTGTTTCTTGAGCTTTGTACAGTCCTAAATACTGTATGCTATTTTCGACCAATTACTGTACTGTAGTCTCTTCATTGTGGACCATTAATACAAGCTATCTCATGTAGCCAAATGACTGGCTGTCGGCCATGGTGTAGAGATCAGTCACTATAGTGTACTTATAACACTTAACTACAAGTGACTGGCTGTGGGCCAGTGTTGAGTCAGTTACTAAACAACACTTAAACTCTCCTTTACTTGTCTGGCATTATGAGAATATAATATTGCCTGTCTGTCTACACTCTCTAGAGCAGTGGTTCTCAACCTTGTTTGCCCCATGCACCCCTTTCACCATATGTCAGAATGTCATTCCCCCCTCCTTTCCAAGATTGTCTGCCTCAAAAAGTGCATTCCAAATAATATGCATATAATACTGAAAATCCTTTATTTTTTCCATATTAGTATCAGTTTTCCTCCCCCTGAAAACCTGAGGGGGGGAAATTCCCCCCCGGTTGAGAACCCCTGCAGCCTAGAGGAACGAAAACATGTGATTAGTCCCCTAAAACCGTCATATAAATAAGTCATAAAAATAAAAAATGGGATGAAAGGTTTTCCCTGAGTGTTAACATGTAGCCTGACGAAGAAATCACCTTACTACTTTACTCAAAGGTTACATACAGTATTTAAATTCTTAACAAAGCCTATGAGAAATTCGGTGTTCAGTTAAATCACACCACACCAACCAAGTATGTAATTAATTTAACTTACCATAATTACACACCAGTCTGGGAGAATCTTGACTGTCACTATCATAATCTGGGATGTCATATCCATCATCTAGGTTGCTACTGCCATGATCTAGGTTGTCACTGATGATCCCACGTTCAAATCCCTTACAGCCATACAAACAAGCGTCCAATTTGTCCCCCTGCAATCAGAATAAAGAGTTATGACATGAGCTTAAAACTGTATTAACTATCAAAATGTCTTCGAACGTTGAACGATTGTACTATACATTTAGGCTAGGTTAAATAGGTTCATGTTATCTCAGATTAATGATACAATGTAACAATGGCTAGTCTTGTAATTACACACACGAAAAATACAAAAACTGCAATTCCCACATTTGAGTTGAGGTTTACTCAAGGTAAGAAAGTTGTCTTCGATACTGGGTATAACATTCGGAGAATATACTGCAGATGGCAAGAAAGGTTAAGTATTACCTTAATACTAACTACGAAGGAAACAAAATTTGGGTACGAGGTAACAGAAATTATTACCTTGTTCTACAGTAATATGGAACGTTGTTTGAACCTCCTCTAATACTTAATTACTGCTAAATGAACTTAGTAACTAATCATCACCGTCTCAATATAATTTTTATCACGGTTAAATACTGACTCAACTGTTTAATTTACTTACTGGTGTGCCAGTAGACTAAGTGACCTACAACTATTACTATTTCACCCAAGTCTCACATCTTCAGTTTTTTGACACAAGGACTGTATTGACCTCTCTTCTCGTAAGACAATAGTACCTTGGTGCGCATGAGACAACAGTAACTTATAGTAAACATAATAGTTACATACAGTGAACATGACTTTGTGAACTTAAAACTGACCGCCAGTGCGTAACAGAAACGTAACCGATCGCCCAAGCGGCTAACGAGCCGATCAGTGAAGAAAAAAGAGTTAAGTCAGGTTTTAAATAGCCTACACTCGGTGCCATGCCCTTCCTCAAAACGCTGTAGCAGATTGTTCAAAGTTCACAACTCTCACTCCCAAAAAGTTTGCCCTGACAATTTTCTGAACGTATGGCTGCTTCTACTTTAAGCTGTGACCTCTACTGGGGCGGGTATCCGCCAGCTATGAACACTCGACTAGGTAATGCCCGCCTATAGTATAAGCTAGGCAGTTGCAGGCGTGCTAATCTCTGGGTAAATGAGGTGCCGTAGTGCAGGCTGTTGACAAGTACTCCAGACGGGGAAGCACCTCGCCTCTCAAGAGCGTTGCTAGAGACGGACCATGTAGGTAGGTGTGTGAAAGACCTTCTTTATAAGACACACGGGTCTAGTTGCTTGATTCACCTTCTTCTCACAATGATCTGAAAACATTAGTTCGTTGTCAACATACACACAAGGCTCTTTAACACAGTTGGACTCCGTTAATGCCCTTCTTCGTCCTGCTGGGATAATTGATGCGAGTCATAACTTTCATAAAACCTTTAGATGCATCATTGAATCTTTAAGTCATTCCATTCAATTGACCACTCCTGAAGCCGATAGATTTTGTAGATCTTCAGAGCCCGTTACAAAAATAATAGTAACTTAAAACAAACATAATAACATAAGTATAAGAATACATTACAAAATTAACTCACTTCATCAACCATTTTACCACATATTAGTTGACAAGCACCAAGTCCACCGGATCCATCTCTTGTTTCATCACCATGCGCCTCACTGAAGATCTGTGCTGATACACCACCAGTAGTAACCAGGAATAAGAGCACGAGGGACCACATCATCCTAAATGGTGAAGCGTGGACCATGAGTCTCTCTTTCCCCTTCATGCTTCCTTCCTTATGTCCAAGACGCCGTGCCCAGTATTCTTCCGCCTGCAACAGTCATTTTCAAACTAAAATAATACTATTCCCCTTTATTTTAATTCTTAATATTATTTAAAGTCATCTAGCAATATTGTAAGTATTTGGGGTTCATTATTTGGCCTTAGTTATCCGCCTTGTGTGAAAAGCTGCAGGAACTAGTTTTTATCACTGCCTAAAGTTAATGAGATTTCTCTATATTTTAAATAACGCATTTTTTGCTGATATAATTATTACAATTTATTGGCCTAGGGTTCATTATTTTAATTGTAAACAATTTTTTTACGTACAAATAGGATATTGTTTACTGTTCTGCATCAAAACTCTAAAATTTGTTCTTGGGATTAGTACACCAGGGAGGGGTTAGAAAATCATGGAGGGGACTAGAGTACTGTCTATGTACATTTTTTAAATACCTGCACTGTCTATATACTTACCTACGCTTAGTAAGACACACCAATGCCAGAAGCAACTAAAAAAAAATGATGGAAAGGTTAAGCGAGGCGGTTAGAATAGTTAAGTATGATATGGTCCAAAATGTATGAAGGGAAGCCATATTGCTTTGATTTCTGCCGTCATTTTTATTTTTACTATATCGTTATACATTAACTTGAAAGTAAAACTGAGTTCTTAATTAGTATACAGGACATTTTTTTTCTCTAAAGGTTTAAATCGTCAGGGGAATTTAAAATCAGTAAAAAGTATGTTAACCCGTCTCACTGTGCTCATTCTTCCTCCATCCTAATAAAATCCGAGGAAGAATTTCAAAGCTAAACATCCATTGCAGAAAACGTTAATGCCAACAAGAACAGCAACAAATTCATAAGCGATAGCCTGACTACTACTGAAGGACTTTCACACCGAACTAAAGCTGTAATTAAAATCTACAAGTACAGGTATAATGAAATAACTCAGGTGACGTGCCAACCCAAATCACAGTCCAGTTACAGAAAATTTAATCTCATAAAATGTCCAACTAAAAGTTCAATAAGAAATTTAAATACACAACCACTATTCCTCAACAAAAATCATTCAGGAACCCCTATGACAAGCAGCAACTAGGACAAAATAACCCATTTAATTTCTCTTTTTTCTTATATGAATAAATTTTTTACTGGCACATCCAACCGTATTTGAGAAAGCATATTTAAACAAAGCTCAAGTCTACTGGTAGGCCTAAGGCAATCAATGACTTACCCAAAGGAAGAAAGTAGTGTAACAGATGATCCCAAGGTCAGAAATAGAGCATCCTAACCTGGTGGTACAGAAGTAATACATACATCTCCTCAGCCTGGGTCAGATGCGAGACACCATTCAACATTGCAGGTTTTCTCTGGGTACAACAGTCGACAATAAAGGATAGGTCCTAACAAAGAACAGACCAACCACTCAAAAGGCTGGTGAGTGAAATGGTAAATTAATAATTATATTGTATACTACCTTTAAAGAAGTGGTGCAGCAGATGAGTGGACACAGCACTCTTGCCCATTTCAAAGATATGCGTCTCACCCGGGAGCCTTCAGTTGACCCAGCTGTGGATGGGTACCACACTTCAGTTTGTTAGTGAACACAGTCTGGTGCCACACTGCACTGCTCCATACAGGCCAAGGAATAATTAGATATTCCTTGATACAGGCAGTCAAGTCGGACCTTCACACAGCCACCGTTCAACTGCTTCCCTCTCTACTCAGTGAATCCATTCAAATGAATAACAAAATTTCTGGGTTTAATTCTCTACCCCGTAGCGTTAAAATACCAGTGAAAACTTAACTGCCATTTAACCCTCAACGTGTTAAAACTTACTCCGAAGAAGTTTAATTTATGGAACATTTCGTATAGTTTTTCCGGCGTTCAATATCCAGATTCATGGTTCGTGAGTCCTCAAAAGCTCTCCAACGGGCACCGAAACAACCAAACAGCCGTTTACATAATATGTAAACGCTTGTTATTATACTGTACACTAATAACTAATTTACAGTAATTCAAACAACAACCATGGATTGAAATATAAATTATAAGTGCACCTGGCAGGCTTTTTAAATACAGTATAGGCCACTGTATATCAAACTTATAAAGTATAAACTGTTATATAGACAGTTGCAAATGAAAGTATTATAGAAGCAAGAGATAATAAAAGCCAAGAATAAGATGAAAAAGTGTCAAAATAACCACAAATTGCTGTATCTTATTTTTTCGCCCCTCCTAGGGACCGTTGTGGGTCGATGACCTGACCTGTGCCCCTGTGCCGGGATGGACTATTCCCCGTAAAATTGCTTTTTGTGCAGACGACACCACCGAGTAATGCCGACAGACATGTAAACACAGCATCGGTATTATTGCAGTTTCACTCCCAAGATTGTCGGAGTGGAGCCCCCCCCCCCTCCATTCCAACTAAAATAAAATCAGATTCAGATTTGCCCCCAAGGGGGCTAGTTTATTGGGCACCCCCTTACATCCTGTGCAAGGTGAAGCGCAGAAGCGTTTACAGCGCCCAACAGGGAAGTATGAAAAGTTCATACTTGCCTTTATGACTCGTACATTAAGGGCGTAAAAGCCTGAAGGGTCATAGGTTCTGTCAAGTTACATAAAGTGAGAGAATGATGAGTGTGTGGGGGCAAAGTTCCCGGTACATTTTATCTGTTTATGGCAAAGAGTGGCAGGTCCCTAGTGCCAGGCCTGTGACTAGGAGGAGGGATATCTGGTCTGGGAGGGAAGAGGTGTTGGTAACGGCTGGGGACCTGTAGGAGGAGGTCTTAGGGCAAGTGAGGATGTAGTGAGAGAGGGTGTGAGAGTCGGGTCTAAAATAAAATAAAAAATCTCTGACGGAAATGAAGGTAAAGATCAAGGTAAAATTATCGTTTCGGGGATCCAGTGATTTTTAATATATATATATATATATATATATATATATATATATATATATATATATATATATATATATATATATATATATATATATATATATATATATATATATATATATATATATACTGTATATATATATTGGAGTCAGTAGATTAGACGATTCCAAGACACTTTTTCTAGGTCATTTTCCCGCTCATGATTAAGAGAAAATCGAAAAAAAAAATCGAAAATCTTATTTTTTGTCTCTATTTTTTTTTAAGTTAAAATTATGTTTTTCCGATGTTTTTTTTTATGTTTTGAATGAATCTGACCTTCATTTCTACTACTGATCACACCAAACCTAACAAAACCTAACCTAACCTCCTCATCATCCACCATCTGGAGCCAATGATAAACAAATAAAATAATTTTCGATGGCTCCAGATGTGCACTGTATAAAACTGTTCCTTTATAGTGACACTTTATAATTACATTTCTGTTTTTTCGACTTCTGGATGGCACTTTGCCTTCCACAGTACCAAAGTTTTTGTCAGCTTGATAGTTACAGGGCTGGTTACAAATAGTGCACTTAACCTGTTCCTGGAGAAATTTCAATGCCCCGCTGTCCTTACCGTAATGCTCAACGTGAAATCTTGCAATTGCTTTGAAGTAATCTACATCACAGCCATTGGCAATGGCCCATTGCACAAGGGAGACATCTTGAAAATAAATTCAAATTCAAGGGGGTTGCAGCCAGGGGCTCTATACCGAGCTGTGATTGGTTGATCCAAAATCATACCACTTATGAATGTGTCAGATTCTTGCAAAGAACAACTGTGCATGTGTCAGACTCTAGCACATGCATAATTTAGCCGAATTACCAACGTACGAACACAGATGAGCTCTCTGGGATGGTATTAACATAACCACAACTCTGAAAAAATCTTTGATTTTCCTAAAAATTTGGCAATTTTCTTTGCAATTATTAATGAACGGGGAAGATGCCATAGAAGAAAAGTGTCTTAGAATTGCCTAAACTATTGATTAAAAAAAAAAAAAAAATTACTGTATTAAAAATCGTTGGATCCCCGAAACGATAATAATACCGACACCTTTAGCTAATTCATGTACTATGCATGAAAAATAGCTAGAAAGCATTGATAATGGTAGTACACAACAGAACTCTGACAAAAATATTTATATAAAATCAGTCACTGCGGTACATTAAAGATTTTCATTGGTGGCTGTACTGTGAACACAGATTTTAAGTGACAGCTTGCTGGAAAAGTTATATAAGCTTGTTCCTATCAGACAAATGAAAGAAATACCCAAGGAACAGTACTGTTATCTTCCCATTTGTGGGTCTTTCTTCACAGTTGGAAATATACATATATACTATACAGTACTTGTAGTGGTCAGTTTTTTCTCCGTTTCTTAAAAATTAACCGATGTAGCAATAATGCACAACAAAAATCCTCTCACCAAACTTTTTTACTGTAAGTGATAATATATTTGTTTTAATTTTCAAGAAACTAGTTACAACTCTGTGCTGAAATTTCTAGAGAACCTGCACCGAGTTATATCAATGAGGAGTCTACAAATAAACACTGGCATGTTTTTATGTATATTTATTGAACTGTAAAAACAACTTGCAAAAATCTATATGTAGTAGAGGAGTCTAAACATAAATACTAGCATTTTTTATAATAGATATATAATTTATTTTAACTTTGTAAAACCAAGTTACAAATTCGTCATATTTAATATTATTGAAAATCCTGCCATATCAACGAGGAGTCTAAAAATAAACACCGATATAATTTTTTATATATAAATTTATTCATGTGTAAAAACAAGTTGCAACTCTGTAATATTAAACATTACTGCAAGTAACTGCCACAAGACAATCCAATACATGTGTACATGGTCATTTGATTAATTTTCTGTAGCTACCTGGGGGTTTGTTGTTAAGAAACACATCATATAAATTTTTAAGTTGATGTTTGAAATATGGTTATGGTAATTAAAGAGAAAGCTGCCTCACAGTCATAGATGGTTCCATACTGTACAAACACCTTGATAGCTTAATTTTTAACTGATGTTTGTTTCTTAGATAAACTAATCCAAACCTTTGTCTCGTCATAAACCTTCAAAATTCATCCTTGTCTTGTTGTCAGCCTGAAATTCTGTCATGTTGAGAGCAAAAGAGCTGCACCTTGAGCTGTATTAAGGGGGATGAGTGGAGACTTAAGTTGTCAAACATGTCATCATCAGGTCAGGCCTAGGGTCACAGTGGCTTTGCTTCAGGTACTGTAACTGATGTAACTACACTGACATTATCAGGTCACATAAACAACCCCTATTTTCCCATTACCTGACGTAAAAATGACCACATTAATCTCCTGGCCATAATTTTTGGACCCAATTTAACTAGACATGAACTGCTACTGTCACGACCATTGTAAAGCCCCAGGGTTGCATGGCTGATGATAACTATTCATACGCTGTACTGTACCAACTTTATTTTCAAATGTAATTTTATATACTTACTGGACAGTATTTACATAATTTATTTTACAAAAATTTGCCTAAACAAAGAAGATACTGGACCCTTTTTTTGTCTCAGTGACAATGATTTTTTTAAGAAAGTGAAGGTTACAATGATGGACACTATTGTCTCTTACCATTCTATTGTTAATTTCAAAAGACTCACTTTTTTAAATTCTTGCAACATTGAATCAGACAAACATGTACACAAGATTGAGTATTTTTATTTATTTTTATAAACGGTCCCTGTGCTCCACTCACTGATCACCTGGTGAGGGATTATAAGGACTATTTCATACCAGTCAGATCATCATTGGCCAGAGGTAGTTTGAAGAAATCATACCACAGTATTGTACACAAAGACTCCTCGTGGTATGATTCTGCTATTGTCTCCCTACACAAGCAGTGTACAAAAGCCAAGTAAAAATGGCATCTGCAAAGAACTGTTTTTCTTGACCAGAATACTTGTTTATCTGCAAGACTGTTGTTTTGTAATTTTGTCCCCACAAAGCAGAAAATTTTACACACTAAATAGTTTCAGGTGAAAATAATCAGCAGTGTTCTGTCTTTCTCTGTCTCAGATCCTAATCGTGTCTCTAATTTCTCTTCCTTCTTGGCCTACAAAATTTCAATTACCGGGTATCAGAAATGAGCTTGACAGCACCTCTTTAAAGTACAATTTTCATAAGAATTCATTCAACACTTTACCTATCCAGGACTCTTCCATGTTTCCATTCAGTTAAGAGTGAATCATGTCCTTGGCTAAATATGTTATATAAATTATATATCAATTGTAGATTTGAGGAGGGTAATTTTATTTAGTCTGAGGAGTAGACCTTGATTACCGGTAACCAAAATGCAAAAATTTGGCAGAGAGAATAATGCAAATTAACTTTTGGTTTCTAACTTATCTATTCAATCAAAAATTATATCCAATAATGTTTCACTTGAACAGTTCTCTCCTGTACTGAAGTGAAATAGGGTGATTCCCTTGGTTCAGAAAGCTGGGAAATCCACCAATCTGACAGGCAATCTGTCTTAACAGTGCATGACTTCTGAGGTAATGTGCTGAGAGAGCCAAAAACAAGTACAGTACTGTAAAATTAAAGAAAATTAGGATAATGGGGACAAAATTGCCTGAAGTAGAATATATTGTACGTGGGTCACTTTACTGACTCCAAAGAGGCAATTTGTCTCAGTATGAAACATGAGACTATTGGCCGTATTCAAGATCGTGGAGGCATTGGATATCCCTATAGGGAGTCATGACCATAGGTAATGCCTATGCCATTGGTGTGTTATAGATCACTCAAATCATGCACCTTAATCCAGGGCTGCTATCATGTGGAAAGCAAGGTCTTTTAGACTGTTAGGATGCTTATATCTCTGTTAATACCAATTTGCACAAGAAATATCAGAAGAAAATCCACTCAGAATTAAATTATACATAAGAATCTGTTGTCATCCTAACCTAACTATTACTGAAACTATAAAAAGTTAATTGGTAATACTTTAGATAAGATGTGTGGATTAATGAGCAACATTAGAAAACTTCTTCCTTTTTTTGAAGGACATCCCAAAGTAATGTTGAGGAATCAATTTTCACCAAAAAAGAAAATCGAATGTAACCCAAGGAGCTAAACCAAACAGCTCTCGTATATCAGAACACAGTACTAAACTGCATTACGACTGTTCAAACCTAACTTAACATCACGGTTATGTAGCCACAAGCCTGCCCAGCCCAGAGTAAGAAGCCACTTCCAATTCAATTAAGTGAAGCAGACTGTCCGTCCTGGTGAAAAAGATAAATTTTGGTTCATTCATTTTGGAAGCTTACAAACTCAGCACGTATCCTGGTGTACTAAAGTAATGATGATTCATTTTGAATCTTTCAGGCCCAAGGAAATTCACATTATTTTCCCAAATAGAAGTCTAGTACAGTACTATTAAATTGCACCTTAAAAAATAGGCATTGTCTTTAAGGATACCCTGTACTTCACAATCTTGAATATGGCCGTATGATGTGATTACAGCCGGCATTATTTAGTTGCCTGTGTCTATAAGAAAACATAAGTCTTGAATGCAAAATATGTCTGTTGTTTTTAATTACTGTAATTTCTAACGAGACTTCACTGGAACATTTTTCTAGCTAACTTAATTGATAGTAACACAATTGTGATCATGTATGACCTTTAAGGGTTGTGGTAGCTGAGTGGATATAGCACTTGTCTATACAGTATTCTAAGAGTCACTGTTATGATCCCAGTCCATCCAGCTGTAAATGGGTACCTAACCATACAGCTGGGGGAAGTGAGGGCAGTTGAGTATGCTGTCAACCATGCTGATTCCTTGTGTGCTGAAGGCTTCGTTTACATTGTGAAGTATCCACACTGTCCCTAATGGGCTGTCAGGGCTATGAGACCCACTTTCACTTTTCACCAATAGTGAAAGGTCATTAGTATGATTCCTATTAAATACTGTATAGGTAGAAAACACAGATGCCAGGCTTTTTTGCATATTTCTTTTATTGTTAATTTTAATCTTATTGACTTAAGAGTGGTTGGTTCTACAGCTGAGTGGATCCAGCACACGAGGCAACCCTAGCCCAGCCAGCTGTGAAGAGGCACAGCACAGTACAGTACAGTACAGTACAGTACTAGGTTTACTGTCTGGGAAGTGATGGCCATGCTACTTCCTTACAGTATGTACCAAAATATGTCATAGTATTATGTGTGGTGTATCCACAATAGTATCTTTAATGTAACACATATGGACCCGCTTCATGTATTTTGTCTATACAGGTAATCATAAGATCATAAATTCAACCTATCTACCAATTTTCAATGAGGTGTCTCAGTACACATGGAGTTTGGGAATCTGTGATGTGTATGTGCCAAAATTGATCTCCTCGTCAACTTTGGTAAAATTATTGCACATTATTATTTAACGAGCCCCAGCTGGGGAAGATTATGTCATCTTCATATATAAATCAGATTTTATTATCTTAAGCTATGGTTTGTAGTTTAGTGCACCTGTTAAACAGTATTTAGTAGAAAGAGGTGAGCAGGTTAACAAATTATTATGTTATTACTACACAGGGTCTCAGTAAGGTAATAGACAGCAAATTCTGTTTTATAGTAAATCATACTTATGGATGGAGGTTTAGTACACCTATTCCTCCACCACATACAGTATATAGAACCCAAACATGATATATGAAGGTAAGGATAAATAATACCTGGCACAGTATACTGGTGTGAAGAGAGAGACTGTAGAGAGAGTGTGCAGGTTCTTATATGATTGGGAAGGACAGAAGGAAATAAAATAAGAAATCATAAATAGTAGGGATATAGGTAGTGTAAAGACAATAACTATTTCGTGCATAGCTGAAAGCACAATATTCCACTGTGAAAGCTAGAGTGACTGGCTACAATTCCTGTATACACAGCATGAGACAGCAAGAACATAGTTTACTGGTAGATTAACATGTATGGTGCATTAGGTGTACTCAAGAGTGTACTGTATGTCTTATGAGAGAAGAATCACCTCCAGTCATCAAAACTATCTTTACAACATTCACAGTGAAGCCTAACTGTTGCTCTGCCAGGCATCTTACATCAACACTAATAATAAGTAAATTTGCTTTATGAATATGGTTTGCTTCCAACTAGTTTAAAAAAAAATTAACTGACAGCTCATAACCCTGAAGCTACCAGTAGGAAGTTTAAAATTGACAAAGTTTACTTGACCTGAATTTTTCTGTGAGCATGTCGTTTGATGTGTTTCAATAATTGTACTTTTCTTGTTATTACAGTATAATATTTGCAGACTCAATATCACCAATATATAAACTCAGACTTTTTGTCCATATATGAATGTAAATATTAAGAATTACATCCACCTTGCAAAATTCTTGAGGCCTCTTAAGTTGGAAGGAGACATTGTACTTACTACAAAACATCATCTTCAGTCAGTTCTCCTTGGACTTGGCCACAGCCCTGCTACATGCCTAGGTGGTTTTAAATTTACCTTCACCTCCAGACACTCAATATCTGGCATCTGTATATTTTAGTGACTCCACTCAGCCTAATGTTAACAATGTCCAGACATATCCCTCCTCCTAGTCACAGGCCTGGCACTAGGGACCTGCCACTCTTTGCCATAAACAGATGAAATGTACCGGGAACTTTCCTCCCACACACTCATCATTCTCTCACTTTATGTAACTTGACAGAACCTATGACCCTTCAGGCTTTTACGCCCATAATGTACGAGTCATAAAGGCAAGTATGAACTTTTCATACTTCCCTGTTGGGCGCTGTAAATGCTTTTGCGCTTCACCTTGCACAGGATGTAAGCGGGTGCCCAATAAACTAGCCCCCTCGGGGGCAAATCTGAATCTGAATGTCCAGACACAGCTGACAGTAATGCTCTTAAGGATAAAATATCCTCACATTAAGGCATTTAAAATAGGAATGCTAGCATATCTTAAGTTCTGTGTGTGGGAGATGTTCCTTCTCATATTTCATAAATGCAGAGATTTAAAAATTTTCATACATGAGCAAAATAACAAAGTTTATACAGGTTCTGTGGGTCTGCAATAAAAACTTTGGTCACTGAATATAGCTGTCAATGAAAAGTGATGAATTTTGATGAATAAATATTTTGTAATCATAAAAAAACCTTAATTTTATCAAGATTCTGACTTAAAATTAAGATTTGTCATTGGGTGTTTTAGATTATAAATAATATCCTAATAAGCCATACCTATTTCCCTTCATTAAGGGTGTAGTAGCTGTGTGGATACAGTGCTTGCCTGTCCTTAGGTTCATTAATGCACACCCACTCCACTCACCTGTGAATGGGTAAAGATTGAGTATAGTGCCAGCCACACTACCACCTTGTGTGATGAGAAGGGAATTAATTAGTCTACAGTGTGCTACTGTATATCCATAATGCCCTTAATGGGGTGTCAGGCCTATGAGACCTACTACCAGATACATTATCTTCTTTACTGTTTCCCACATGTCTCTAACCTGAGCCTTTAGTGATTTCAACAGGTATCTATCCTAAGTACATGCAAGAACTATGAAATCATCCTCATCTTCATCATCATTCCAGGCTTACATGGGTTAGTTGGTAATAAGAAAGAAATAGGTTGATTAATAAGCATGAGCATTAATACTCCATACCGTATATTCACTTTATAAAGCCATGTTGCACTGGTATCTAATGAATAAATATGGAATGGCAAAGATATCTGGATTTTAAGTGTAAATGTTTATGGTGAAAGAAATTTACATTGTTTACTGCCAAAATTACACATGTAGAAGAAATTTTTTAATAAATTTTAATAAATGACATGTAGCCAGCAACAAAAATAAAAATCCTAATATTTACGTACCAGTACAGTATTAATATACATCCACCAGTGTAAAAATATGCGCACCATATATATATATTTACACACACATCACATAACCTAATGGGGTAAACAATTATAAATATTGAGCCGCCACAGGTACCCTTGAAAACTGACTAAAGTGTGATCTAATTTTGAAATCTACAAGCAAAATCCAGTACTGTACAGTATCTGAGGATCATTCCGACCACTGTGATCAAGATGCCTTTAATATGCAGTCATTGCATATATTTACAGTTCTAAATCAAGATAAAAAAATTGTAAGTAATATATATATATAAAAAGTTAATAATTACAGCAAAGGAAAACATTATTGTGGCTTGTTCCTATGTAAAGTAAACGAAAAAAAAATACCCCTTGACCGCTGACATTCATGGCACCAACACCATAATTTCTTAGGCACATCAAGTCTGCTGACACACACACACTTGACAACCTTCCTTTTATAGCATAATTCAGTTAACTAGTATGTATGCAAGTGTTACAACAAAACTAGTCAAAATCTTATAAATCAATAAATAATTTGTTGTAAGCATGTGCTTTATTTACTAGATTAAGTTAACTAGAAGATTTCTATAATATTCATTTATATGTATAAAGTCTATGGCCTATCCAGAGTGAAATTCCACATTGTGTTGATTTGTCTATTCTAGACATTGGACTGCAGCTATACACAACTCTCTCTCTGGAGCGTTGCGAGGCGACGCACGTCAACTTTGACAGCATCGTCCGAGGTGCTAGTGGACAATGGGCGTGGCTCACTTATATCCCCATTGCTGATACGATAATCTGAAACACATTAAATAGTTTAAACATTACGTCGTTACCTCCACTGTAACGAAGACACACATCCAAAATGATTTAACACATACATGAAACACATGGTTTAGGGTACAGTAACAGCATCTCAAAAGATTAACTAATTATTATAATAAATAGTTAATGAATATCTGCCTTGGAAATAATGTCAAAATAAAGCAAGAAATATAATTCAGGTCAGTACAATTTACTCTTCTTGAATTTCAACATCAAAATATAAAAGGGTCACAATTCTGAATCCTATATTAATTTACAGTAGATGGCTTATTAATTTATTTATCTATGAATTTTAGTTTTCTGAGGCAATATCACTGATTATTCTTAGTCTTGAGACATTTAGATTCAAAATTCCTAAACGAGATACTGTACCAATAAGCAAGTATGTCCCACACTTTCACAAAGCATTTGATGTACTGTACTTGTACTGATATTACTAAATTTATATATAGACTGAATATATATCATATTATTACATTAAAATATATAAAAAACCATATTTAGGCATTAATTTGTGATCTCAAACTACAGGTGTTGATTGACTGACTAAATACCTAAAATTTAATATTAGGCAGAGAATTGTTAATGTGAGGGACATGCTCATTCTGTTCACATGCTTCTGGTTATTATTTGTTCACTGACCTCTATCACATGACATACTTATCATGTGATCTACAGTATGGTGCACACTGACTATTTATCTGATGTACTGTATTAGTCTACACATATCACTGATCATATAAACAGTGAATTACCTGCACAAAGCAACAAAATATTTCAATACAATATACCAATTTACTGAAACTGAAATATTTCCAACACAGGGCTGAAACTCTAGACCAGCAGGATACCTCACAATACAGATAATCCAAACACACAGTCAAGACCAGCATAACCCCTCAACATTGATACCCTGTTAGTCTGCTGCTTGAGCCCTGACTTGGGAAACTTCAGCTACATTAAAGTACGTTTTGGTAAGTACTGTACAAGAGAATGGACCACAACTCTTACCCCTTCGTGCCTTCTTTTGTTTGCCAGCTGTGGGGGAAGGAGACGTGAGGACACACACACAAACTCACACCAGTATATAAACACAACTAATGTTTAAGTTACAGACATATGGTACACCCAGTTCATGCTTTCTTAACTCCTACACAAGAAAAACTGTCATCTTCAAAACCACTTGATAAATCCCACACTAAATACCATATTAATATGTATGTTGTAAGAATAAATCAGTGCACAGTATGTATTTTACCCACATGAACCACAAAATCAACGCTTGAACTAAGAGTCTTACCAATGCCACAGTTATTGTACAACTCTTCCAGTTAATATTTCCTCAATACCTTTATGATGTATTATAAGAGTTAATAAGAGCACTGGAATGACTTATTTCTGGAAGTATTCTCTCAGATGTATGTCTGTTATATCCTATCTCATTAGACACAGATCTATGAAATAATGTTCAGTACTCTATTTCAAAAGCTACCTATAAACAATACCTTCTCATTATCTATACTGTACTATACCCTGGGTAAAGTGTCCAGGAAGCTACAATGTACTTGGAATACTAAAATGTTTCTCTTACACCATTTTCTTACATTACCAAAAATAAATTTGCTACTGAAACACAAATCTTAAACTCACTGCTCCTGAAGTTCATCATGCATTGAGTTACACATTTCCACACTAATCAACAACACTTTTAATAATTGTATTTGTTATTCATTTCGTTCAAAAATCAACAACACACTACAGTAATACAGAATGTACAGTACAGTACTCAAAATTATATAAATGTCCATATTAAACACATTCTCTGTACTGTGCTGTAGTTCATTATTATTTTGTATTCTTCACTTCCCAGAGTCATTTTATTCCCCTCAACTACTTTCCTCCCTAGACTGAAAGGTATTATACCCTAAAGAATGTTAGTAATATATACAGTAGACCCTTGGCATTTGTGAGTTTGCAATTCGCGATTTCGACAGTTTGCAGTAAGCAGATGGTGGCTATGATAGCTAGCTTCCAAGCCTTTTCCCCGCAGCACAACGAACCACCCAATGCAGCATCTTGCGTTGTACTCTCAAAACTTTAGTGTTTCTGTGTGAAATGGCCCCTAAAAGATTGCCTAGTGTCAGTGCTAGTGGAGTAATATATTCACTATTCACAATGCATAGTCGTCCATCCATAATATCTTGAGAGTAAGTGAGTCACAACAAGTTAGTGATACGGCCGCAGTATTCCCGTGAGTCGGAACACATGGTATGGCGCTGTGTCCACATGTTCAGTGGGTGAATATTCTCTACAATTTTAAATAAAAATTGGCCAGTTAAATTTTATTTATGTATTGTTTTCTATACCGTATTGAAATATTTCAAGGTAACTGACAGACCTTCCCTTCTCTCTGTAACTATTGCCATTTGATTCTCAAATCCAGTCAGACTTGTACTCCTCCTTCTATCTCGGATATAATTGCCCTTGGATCTCAGACCTTGGTCTGACACCGGCCTACTTGAAAATCGATCTTCATGGACTGCCTAATTACTTCAAGTGGGTGACGTTTTACTGTACTCTGATACATAGTCTTAAACAACATGATACAGAACAACAGTGGGTTATACTTCATGTTGGTCTCGTGAAATTTTCTGAGATTTTACTGTTCTCTTCTCTAACTACGCTGCTATCATACCAAGTATCTAATAATACAGTACTGTACATTCTTAAACCACCATAGAATCTCTTGACTAATGTTTGACTTCACAACATTTTTAACACATCTTAGACTTAATAAAACCTGGCCATCAATCTGAGGACACCATTACCCTTCATCATGCAGGCATCTGCACCTTAGGTACACAAACAAACAAGAATTGTGTGGTGGTATTTTCAAATGTTTGTGTAGCATTGAGTGGTGTACAGGGGGTGTTGAGTGGTGTACAGGGGGTGTTGAGTGGTGTACAGGGGGTGTTGAGTGGTGTACAAGACATTGATGATAGCACCTGAAATTGAAATTAGTATACAGGGGTGTTGGTGGTGTACAGGGGGTGTTGGGTGGTCTGTTGAGTGGTGTGCAAGGGATGTTGAGTGGTGTGCAGGGTGTTGGGTGGTGTACAGAAGTGCTGGGTGGTGTACAGGGTGTTAGGTGGTGTACAGAAGTGTTGGGTGGTGTACAGAGTGTTGGTGGTGTACAGGGCAGTGGGTGGTGTCTGGGGTTGGGTGGTGTACAGGGGGTGTTGCCAGGTGTTGGGGTGGTGGTGTATTTATAGGTGGTGTACAGGGGGTGTTGGGTGGTATACTAGGTGTTGAGGCTTGGTGTGTGATGGTCATATGTTCTCTAAACTACAGTACACTTACAGTGTTATAATTGCAGTATAATATTCTACTGACACAGGTATGTACAGTATATACACATCAGCAAGAAAAATTGGGTTTTACAGGATTAATAGTAATTGTGGCCTCCTGTACTGTAGTAATTACAGTGGTTTTGAGGGCATCTGGATCACCTGTACATTATCCACAAACTGTAACCAGACACTAACTGAGTAGGTGTCAATTACAGTAAATATTATAAAGTTTATCAAAGTTTATATATATATATATATATATATATATATATATATATATATATATATATATATATATATATATATATATATATATATATATATATATATATATATATATATATATATATATATATATATATATATATATATATATATATATATATTTTTTTTTTTTTTTTAAGTTAATTCGTGCAAGCTGTTTTCATGCATATGTTTGTTTAGCTAATATCTACTATAATTTATTTATTAATGACTATTATATTAAAAAAAATAATTAAAATTGTAAATAATATTTCCAAATATTTCTCTAACCAGTCAATGCATTAAGAATAATCAGCAAGTGATAATATTTTGCAAAAGGCATAACAAGTCGTAAGTGTGGGCTGTTTCTCCTCTCGTATACAGAGAATTCCAAGCCTGAAAGCTGTAATCCTATAACTTCATGCCTTTACTACAGAAGCAGTAAAGCTTTATATAATGCATAAGACATTATCAACACACACAGAAGGTCTGGATCATAAGTGTAGCTCTGGGTTCTGTGATGTGTCAAGTGTACCAATAATGCCAAGCAAAATGTCTAATGACTACAAACTCAATATCACTCGTTTAATTTACGTCTCTGCAATTTTTTATCATACTATAAAAATAAATGAATTCCTTATTTCTGTTAAAAAGTAAGATTCTTTAACATTTATACAGTATACATAAAATCTCATCTCTTAAGTGTTATATAAAAAATTCCTCTATTGTTATTCTTCCAATGTGCAAAATTTTCTTCAAGTATGAACTACTGTATTATAAGTGTGGCTGAGGCACTGGTTATAAGTGTGGTCAGTAAGTACACATAAATAACTGTAGTGACTGATAAAAACACCAATAATGACAAGATGTAAAGCTGGTCTAATAGGCCTCATACAGTGTGGCTTCAACACACTGCATACTCAGGCTTCACTACACATTGAAGCAGTGTGGCCAGCACTACATTCTCAGCTGGGCTGCCTGGGCATGATGAACTAGTGATCCTTAGGACGGGAGATGAGCACTATCCACTCAGCCGCTGCACCCAAGTAACTAAAACAACCGTCCCCAAGTAACTACAGTATAGTGACCAGTGAAAACCAAAGTCACTGCAGTGACTAAACTAAAGTAACAATCACAACCGTGGGGAATTCCAAAAATCCTTTACGTAATATAACACTAAACAGTACTGTCCTACAGCACAAATGTTTTCCTATTACTGTAACCAATTATTTTTTGGGTCATTTAAACACCTGCAACTGTAAAAAATTGACAACAGTAAGAAGCTAGATAATATTTAAGGATAAATAAGAAGACCAGCACAATATTCCTGAACAAATACAGTAGCTATCATAACTCAGAAGTATATTCAAGGCCACGATGTAGAGAACAAGAATGGTTGGCCAGTGTTGGGTCAATCTTTGATATTAAACCTGCCAGATAAAACCTTAAAGAAAACAGCAAAACACCTAATTAACTCTACTTGGTTAGTGGAAACAACTACAAAAATTCAAAGCAATTTGGTGTGGTACTGCAAAGGTGGCAGAAAAAATTAAGTCCCGTAAAAACTAAATTAATCTAAGGAATTTATTAAGGGTGTAAGAGCATAAATGATGGTAAGAATGAATAAAATAAGTAATGCAGTTTATTGGTAATTTAAAGACCTACTACAGTAAAGACTAGAGTGAGTTCCCCTTATACAGGTATAGGTAAAATAAGAAAATAAAGCAAGGTTTCCCATCTCATCTTATACATAAAGCAAATTCTCTTTCACGGTAAATTCCTAGTTGAATTGTTGTATTGGGTAGAAAGTTAATGAGATACAAAGTGCAGTTATTAACGAGAAATAGATCAACCATCAACCTCACATACACCGCACAGGAACTGAAGTAAAGAGTGAAGAAATGTATGGGAGAGAGGAGGAGTGAGTGAGTATGATGTCAGGATAAAATAACATGAAGGATGCTGTGTATAAACCATCTTGGTGAACTGTGGGTGGTAATGTAATGCATATGGGCAGACGTTTGCTACACCGCATCTCAATACAGTGCTGTGCTGAATGGGCCACGTAACATCTCTAGAAGGGCTCATTTAAGATCAAACTCGACCAACACTGGTGCAGGTTCAGATACATCCAGGAATCAGTACATGCCCAGTACTTGCCAAGTGTGTAACAGAGACGTAACTAACCGCCCAAGCAGCTAACAGGCTGATCAGTGGCAAAGAGAATAAAGTAATAAACACTTAAGTATGTATCACACTTCTCCATACTTGCTCTTCTCTCTCTCTCATATTGTTCTTGCCTGATCACCTTCCCTTAATCTTACCCAACTATAATTTATGAGGAACATTCCATCCACATATGCATCATCAGGGAAGTAATTACCACAATCAATCAATCCATCCACCCATTTGATCATATTCACACAAGATTGTCACTTTTATTTC